ACACACACACCACCGCTTAGCCGATTATATATAGTAGGATCCTTTTATACATGGAATAAGAGCTTAACCAGAGCTGGTTCCCCAGTTTCGCCAGCACTATATTAAGCCGCGTCTACAGCCTGTGAGGCTGAAACAAACATTTCCATGTGGCATGCTCGCCACATTTGCATCTCACCCACTTCAAGTGAACTCCCTCTAAATATGCTGTTACAGAAGTGCTGCAACCAGAAGGCTCTTTATTACAGGTGCTTCATTATGACGTGACAACAACAGGTTTCACCACGGCATTGCCATATATTCTATCCGCAGCGCTAAAGTTTATCGTGGGACCGATATCTGACCGAGCAACTTGTATTTCTGACAGATGGCGACTTGTGTTCTTCGCTGCCGCCTCACAAGGACTAATGGCGTTGTCATTCCTTGCGCTTGTATTCGTAAGTGCTTCCCATTCGAACTTTCGAAGTATTTCTTATTTCATGTGGAATTCTCTCGAAAGTCAATAGTGACAATTACAACACTGCTATAATGTCATATCGCATCCCTTCGAGCCATCCACCTTGTACAGGTTGGGTCAAAACTATGGCAATCGCGACCATGGTTCTGTTGCGCGAACTCGAATCCGCCTTTTCCCCGAACTCATTTTCTTCTTCTTAACTGTGCATAATGTAATGGGGTTCAGAGTTTCCGTTCTATAAACCAAGCACCATGCATAACTCAAATTCCAGTTCCTGGTGCACGTGACAATGCTTGTACATAACACAATCATTTCCCTCGCGGCTCGACAGATTGGAAAAGTTGGTGCTGGTGCGACGTCATTTTGACGTCACCAGCACGCGCTCGCGTCCGTGCCGCCGGTGAGCTTTTCTCTCCCCCCGGGCTGAGCTTGGTGATCTGCAAACAATCTCGTTTGGTAGCACTGTCAACATTTATAGCCGAATTCAATCGTTTGGCTACTGCAAATGCTCTCAACTGCGAAAAAAAATTTTCTAAAGGAAGGATGAGTGCGAAAGATCATATCAGCATCTTTCTGCCTCTTTAACCGTGTGTGGCTTATTGGGATCGGAGATGAGACGACATTTCTGCATAATAGGTGAAATAGATCTATCTGTGCAGAATTTCACTGACTATCTGCCCCATCGTTGCGACAACTGTCGAGCTTTTTTGTCAATCCTTCAGCGTGGCGTAGGGTTGTGATCGACTGGAGAGCGGAACGTTCCACTACCTTCTCGTGTAGGGCCGACTATTCTTTCGTTTTCCTGCATGTGCATGATGGACACTGTTTTCATGTATCTTCCCATCTGTCCTCAAATTGAATCACTCTGGCACGTTACAAGAGGTAGTCGAACGTATCAGGGGGGCTTCTTGTAAGCAACAGTTCAACTCTTCAATAAGTTTGGAATCACCACAGATGGAAAATTCGGAGACTCGAAAGTTACAGTTACCACCAGGATAATTATCAGATGCAGAAACTAGGTCTCCCCTTTTCGACTTGGAAACCGCTGTTTTGATGCAAGCGTTTGTAACGCCCGAAGGTCGGACTATGAGCGAATTTCCAACCATTTCAAAGGATTAGCCTAATTCTCGATCTTGATAGAGGAGGGGAAAGTTACCATATAGTGTCATGCGAATAGCCTTGAGGAATAACCTGTCGTCTAAGGCTGACCTTGTGGTAAAATCGAATTCTGGACGTTGAAAAATAAACACGATAGCAAAGCGGAACCCAAATACTGAAGGCACGGAAGAAGAACATCCAAAGAAATGAGTAGTGCAGTGGATGACACACAGCATAGTTCAGATAGTTTTAAAGAAAACCTAAATTGGTTAGAACTCCATATTTGCAATTGGACCATTCTTTCATTATTTATTTATTTATTTATTTGTTTATTTAATGCAGGCGTAGATGAGCAATACTGAAACCTGAAGTGGATCAAATTTCCTTCCATTTAGATGACACTTAATGCGGTAAAAGAAGGCCCACTGTTCCCCAGGATGTACAGCGGTGCCAAAAGACACTTCACAGAACTTTTCGTCGCACAGGGAGCCGATGTTAATGAAAGTTTTACGGCGAAATATTCCTCCCCCGTAAACAGAAGCAGGCCCTCCTTCACTGCCCCGCCGTCTTCAGAATATGACGTCATCTGCCGTCACCGTCGAGCTCAACGAGGCTTACCGTAATCGCTCCGGCCTGAAGCTGCTACATAATTTCTTCAATGGATTAACTGGTGAATAGCTTCCCAGAGACATTAGCTGTGACTGTGCAAAACCGCTTTTGACCAGCGTTTCAGGGACGTCGTAATGGTCTATGGTACCTCGACGACCTCGTTGAGCTCGTACCGTGAACCATGTTTCCGTGGGAAAATCTTCTGATGTCGTCGGTGTAGAAGGCTGTTGTGTAGCTTGTTGATAGATTATAACGTGCTCTTTAATATTCAGTTGGGATCATTTGGTTTGGTTTCGCAACGCGTAAATAATTCCGTTTTGAATGTGAAGTGAAGTGTCTCTTTTTTTGGCCACCCCTGTAGATTACACTTGTTTTTGGCTTCACTTTGTAGTCAGTTTATAAGGGCTAAGAGTAGCTCTGCTGATGATCCGATTGCTCGTTAGCCAAGAGCCTTCTCGAGTGGCGATCCAGTCTATTACAGACCCTCTTGAGTTGGAAACTATATAAAGGAAAGTTCTGTAGTGCACAAATAGAAGACATCTGAGCCATCAACTCCTATCGGTTACCCACACTTAAAGGCAAAAGTCGGGCTCAATAAGGGGGTATTATGGCGATTGAAACTGAGTATAGAGATGCGAAGTGGAACGACAGTGGAGAAAAAACTGAGAAAAACCGTCGACAAGGCCGTTAACAAAACCCTCTTTCCCACTAGCAGTGAAGGAGGCTGGCTTGGGAAAGAGGCACGTACAAACAAGTTTTCTGGAGATGTCAGTCGTTCTATCGGTTGATACGGCAATCAACCTAGCTGATTTCACACGTTATGCCAGCCACGCACCACTTCCGGAGGTGGGCGGTCCTGGATTGACCAGGCGGCCCTGGATTGAAACCGAACGCCCCGGGGCCTTAACGGGTTTTTCAAGGTGGGAAGTTGCTGCAATGTGTGCAGCTACCCACATACAACCTCCAGGCACGGGAATTACTTCTCTAGCGTGCCTGAGCCCGACCTTTGCCTTTAACATTCTGGTGATTAACATGCCGTCCAGATACATATTCACGGCTGATTCCAATTTAACCAGGCTTAAATGATAAGCTGGATGTAG